GCATTATAAAGTTAAAAATATAAAAAATAAAATCGAGAATTTTCACACGAAAATAGCATTCGGTAGCCATTTTTTTTCAAATTAAAGTATATTACATAAGCTTTAATTTAAGATATATATAAAAGTGTCAGACCTTCCGGAACACTTTCAAAAGTTAAGTTGAAAAAGTTCTACTTTTTATATGCATTTTTCAGATTTGAACACCCCCATGTGGGCAGATAAAGGGTTAAATTTATAAAAATAGTATACCAAATGATAGGTAAAAACATCAAGCAACTATTAAAAAAAAATTATATTGATATGTTCATTTTTAAAAAAGTTATGGCAGTTTTTATTAAAAAAAAATTGAAAAAATTTCGAAAATTAGCGATTTTTAAATTTGTAATGTTTTTGGAGACCTCCCCCATTTACGGTGAACGAGGGAGATTTTTTTAATATTTGAGGGTAATGTCTTCGACTAAATACTATTTGTGATCTTCTGACTTATCGTTGAAAAAATCGGTTTCGGTGAGAGTTGAGAAAAAGTGGTGACAAACAAACAAAAGAAAAAGTTAAGCTTAAATAATGAATCTTTATTGGGACGAAATATGAAGGATACTAATAATATCAAATAAGACAACAATAGATTTTTCGAATGAATGTATAAAAATATTTTGAAATGAAAAATCATGACCACTATTTACCTTGAATAATTTCCGATTAAAATGCATAATTTTTTCATGCTTATACACTTGAATTTTACTAAACATATTATATTACTTTTTTTTTTACTAAAATTTCAACCAAAAAGGTAATCTTAACATTATTAACGAATTTTTTTTCTTGGTTATTTGTCTAACTTAAATGGTTTTATTTTATTTATCGCAAACCATGTCAAACTCTGAATTAGCATATGTCGGTTTAGTAATATTCAGAGGCTAACCCTTCTGCGTTTTACACTAATCAGTCGGTAGCGATCCTCTAGGTCTATATTTACCTTAGTTGTGATAACCATGATTCGAATACTAATGAAATTTGTATAAATTTACTCTAAAAAACGTATATAACCAATAAATAAACTAAAAATGTTTTGTTAATTAAACAAGTTTAAAAATTATCAGTGTACAAAATATTAATTATATATAATTTATAATAATGAATATAAATTAACTTTATCATACGATTTTCTTTTACAAAATCTAAAATTATATTATAGAAATAATATATCGCTACTTTATTGAAATATTTTTCAATCGACAAAGCACATTTAATTCTGAGATTTCAACTTTTTTTAAATCCCATATTTGAAAAATTGTATACAAATTTATTAAATACATTTAACGAGTTCAAATTATCAATAAAAACCGTATAATAAAAATTTCACAAAACAATTGAAGCCAAAAAAGAACGTAAAGAATACTTTAAATATCAAATAAAAATTTTAAATGCTGATACTTTATTTAAAATTAAACTTTTATTTGAAAAAATTAAGATTATTTATCCATAACAAACAAAGCTTTTTCTTATTTTTTTAATAAATTTTCATAAATTGTCTGACGTTTATATGGATGGTTTTTGAAACGCACGTAGCACTTCTCATACATGTTTTCCTATAGCTAAGTGTAAACGAGGCATCATTATACATGTAGTGTGTCAACAAACAAATTTATTCATAGAATGAGTTGAGGGGAAATTAAAAACATTCAATTTTCTACGGATTTTTCCCCTATAGAAATTCATCCCGCGTGCCATCGCGCGCCGCCTCTGGCCGTTCACAATACACGTCTAATTTGATAAATTATTCACCCCGGTAGGTTATGTTTAATTTTTTTTTTCATTTCTTTCTTACTTACTTTTCTAAACATCGTTACCCCGACGACGTTTTATTCTCACGTTGTTTGCTCCTTGTGCAAAACGACACGTTTTGCCACCCGAGCAGCAGTATAATAATTTGAAATGTAATTTTCTTTGAACAATTCCCTTTTTCCCGCCTATAACAGATACTGCCCATTATAACGAAGAAATGTAATTGCACTCAAACGGTAAATTTTACAGAAATCTGTTCTCCGAGTCAAAAATTTACAATTTTGTAAACGTTGCTTGGACAATCACAATTACTGTTTAAGAGCAATGGAATCTGAGATTAGTTTAAATTGTAAGCTGATTACAAAAGGATTGAAAAGTTTTTACTGTTACGACAACCAGAGCCTATTAAACACTCGGATAAAATCTGTTTGTACGGATTCCATCTTTTTTTTTTTTTTTTACAATAATTGAATTGTCAACTATACCTCTGAATTGTTCGATTTTCTCAATTTCACTGGTAATATATAGGGATGAGTTTTATCAAAAGTTTTGCATGACATATTTTTTAAATAACGAAATACTCGTCATTTTTTAACTAAAAACATAGTAATGTTAACATTGCGCATTGTATTTTATAAAAGGGAATTTTTCTCAGAAAAACACTCTTATATTTTTAGTCCATCTAAATATTAAATATTCCAAGAAAATCTCCAATAGATTTTTAGTATAAAAAAATGCATTAATAACTTAATTTGTTAAATAGTGTAAAAAAACATCACCGAAATCACTCTTATTAAATACACAACCATATTAATAATGATTATACACTATTAGTTCAGTCTAACTAAATTATTGTATTTTCTATACATCTACTTGCAATATAACCGAGAATATATATACTAGAAATATATCTAAGAGCAAAAACTAAAATACTATTTGTGAAACTATGTTAGCGTTGAAATATCCATCAGGTTATTTTAACATTTACAAAAGGAACATTATTTCTATTTCAACCCGAAAATTACGAACAATGACAAGTGAATTAAATCAAGAGGGGAAAGTAGCTATATACACTTCCGTAGAGCTGTTAAAAGACATTATGATATTTAGATTTACCGAGGGCTGTGGTTGTAGAGAAGAAAGATGAATGAAAAAAACATAGTGTTATTCATTATTCTTTAAAAGTATATAATAATTTTGGCCTTGCATGGTGACAAAGGAATTTAAAAAAAATCATATAAATGTAAATATTTTATATTCTCTACCGGTAGTAGGAATGTGGTTGCGCATGTTTTACACAAAATTTCAATTATATGCGATTTAAAATTTTGCACAGATGGCTTAAAATTGAGCTTGTTTTTAGCATAGTTGTAAAAACGCACCCTAACTAAAACCATGCAGACATGTTGATTTTGGTAGTGGAGTTTTAAGAGTAAAGGGGAGCCGTAGTTCATGGAGGACTTGTCAAGGTACATTGTGAATTATGAACGAACCACACCTCATACTCACTCATCCCCTGTGTCATGCAAGCGTGTTTTCATAGCCCAAGTCACAGTGGAAGTTCGGAGGGTCATTATAGCGCTTGAATATTAAAAAAAAGTACTAGCGAAATGGTTCTGGCCTAATTAATATTTATTTACATTGGTTTTGTGCTGGTTGCACCCCTCTTTTTTATTTGCATTTATGCATACTGTTTCTTCTTTACTTTTACGGTTTTGCAGTTTAAAATGTCTAGTGTGACGATTGCATTTGTATTTATCGTATAATATAATCTAAATTAATGTATAATAACATTACATATGTGGAACAAGTTTATTTAATCCTACCCTAAGTAATAGAGCTTGGCTTATAATTGTTCATATTCGTATACATCTATATGTAAGAAAAGAATAACGGCCATACAGTATTTTCAAAATAAAAACATTCACAATTTCCTAGAAAAATAAAATATTGTATTGAAAACTACATTCTACTCATATCAGAGATAACAATCGAATTTAATATTCAATGAAAATTTGTAAATCAATATATCAAGTGTTTATTCATGACAACAAAAATTAACTAGCAATTGATACACATGAAAAAATATCTCTACTCTAGTTAATATTGTAATATACACACTTGTATATATTATTAAAGATAAGAAAGTTTGAAATATTATGTAATTAATAAGATACTATATTATCGAATAAATATTAAGCATAAATTATAGATTCACGCTTAAAAAGTCTTACTAATTACTTATAAATAATATAAGTGTACACATAAAATAGGTAAATCACTTTGATAAAAGATTTTGATAAATTTTTGTAATTATTGACTTTCAACTTTGCCAATTTTCAAATTAATGACTCCCGACAAGTCCTTTATTTGATCAAAATTCAATCATTTTATCCAAACTACAATTATAATGTATCTATAATAAATATTTAATTGAGTTATGAAAATTAATCAAATTGATTGATAAGGGTATCAATCAATGTATTATGTGTACATTATATAAAAATAATTGTAAAATTAGCGAGATTTGTACAAGATTACAATAAAGACAATTAAGATAATAACTTGACTGTCATAATAATAAGTGAAAAACAACAAAAAGATTCACTCATATTATATAAGCCATTAGAATATTAAAAAAATAATTTGAAATCAAAAGTTAACTTAATACTAAACAAATTATGAAATACTTGGTCAAGTTTAAATGACAGATTTCCGCCTTTCAATTAAATTCAAACATTAAATATTATTATTTCTATAACATAAATTAATTCCCAATTAGCTCTAGTAATTACTAATAGCAGAGATCAAATTTGGGGTTTAGAGGTGGAAAAGCTCCTCTTATAACTACTTAGATTATTATAAGCAGCATTATTTGTATTATTATTATTATTTGTATTATTCATATATTATGTTTCAAATCTCATTATAATTTTTGACAATCAATATATTGTCAAATTTGTATAAAACACCCCACTCTCCCAAAGAGTTTCAATCCTGACTAGTAGGATGCAACTTTTAATACTTTTAGATACATATCTAAGAAGTTGAATAATTCAAAATATCTACTTAAAAAATTTTAACTCAAAACCTATTCATTATAAGAATAATATTGAGATAAAATGTATTAAAGTTTTAATACAATATTTGATCGTGAGAACATTTACATAAGTTTAATTATTATAACTATTTTATTAAAACGTTATATTTTTTAGGTTCTCTGCGTCAAGTTTATGCAGTAGTTCAAGGAACTGCGTTATTACCATGTGACATAGCTCCTCCTATACCCCACGATCCTCAGGATACAGTCATTTTGGTAGTGTGGTATAAAAATGAAAAAACTGCAATATACAGGTAATATATTTTCCTACTAATGTCTAACATTAAAAATTTGCATTTCCAAATGAATATCGATCAAATTATATTTATTTAACCTGTAAATTTTTAAAAAGGTCATAGAAATTAAAAAATATTAGATTTTGTGCATGACATCGGTTTAAAAATTGTTTAAGTATTTTCTTTAAACTATACATGACAAAAAAAAGAATACCAAAATAAGATAAAATATTAAATTCAAAATTATGCTATCATAAATACTTATTATGAACAGGTGATAATCAATATTTTATGAATTATGAATAATAAAAACAATATAGTATTTTTAAAAGAACTCTAACATTATACACAAAATATTAGTTATATTGTAATATTAAATTGCATATAACAGTCTAAATAATAAATTTTAAGTAAATAAAGTAAATTAAAGTGTATAACTAAAATTTTGTTTTTAATCTTAAGATACAAAATAATTTAATTTAGTTTTTTAGTTAGTGTAATCAACGGTTCAACAAACTATCCAATAGTCTAAAAAACAGTAAAAAAAGTGAATATCATGATTGTATACTTTGTTTTATAAAATCTAATTTTACAGTAAACTTAATTATACATTAATCATAAATTATAATTTTCTGTGAGGAAATATTTTATAATTAGTAAAATGGTATAACTTGTGTAATAAAAATAAATTTAAGTAATACAAAATTTCATGAAAATTATTATTATTCAATTCTATTAACAGTTTTTATATAATTTATCTGGATTTAAGCTCTAGGGATCTGTCTTGAAAAGTAGAAATTAGTTTTTATTTTTTAAATAGTTAATCTGTAGAAAAATAGTTAATTTAATAACTTATAGAGTTTGTTTTTTTCGTCGCAAGGTCTACATTTTTCAAAATGAAAAATTATTTTCTATACGAAAAAAAATAGTATATCTTAAGCATTTTAAGAACATCTGTCAATGGTTATATTTTTTCTATAGTTGTAAAAATCGTCAAATAGTATTAAATATATATATATATCAGTTTTTAAGAGTATTTTTAATATAAAACATACCTATGTAAATTTAATAAATTATTATATAATTTTAAAAAAAATATGAAAAATAACAAGGTGTATAACATTGTCTACATCACGAGGCAGATAATTTTAAGCTAAGTATAAAAAAAACTTACAAGCGTCGTGTTAACATAGTTTAGTGGGTAAAAATAAATATTTCACCGAAGCCGAGTATAATTATTACGATCCAACAGTCAGACAGATAACAAGATAAGTAAATTTATGCGCTCAAAAAAATGTAATAAAAGTAGTCATTTTTCCCAAATTATAATTATCATTTTCCGTTGCCAGCCGGAGATTGCGAAAAAACAATCTGTAAAGAAACTCGAGGAAAAATGTACATGGCCGGGAAAAATATTGTAATTTGTTTATAATACGCAATTTCGTCGCCGTTAGTCCAAAAACTCATCCAGAAAGTTTTCTCGTTCGCAAGCCGGCCAAACAAGACAAAAAAAATTAAATAAATAAAACACACTACGCTTGTGTAAAAAAGGGTGCTACTGCACGCGACCCATAAACTATTCACTCCGGAGCAAGATTATTATTAAAACATTAAGCTCGAGGTCAAAGTGCTGGATGAAAAAAGTAATAATTAAAACAGAAACCGTTAACAAACTGGGATGTATTTTTTATTAAACCAATAATAAAAATAAAATATCAACGGGTAATTTTGTTCGCTTCCTTCTAACGTATGGGAAATTAAAATAAAATAGTCTAAATAATCAATACACCTTATTTATAATTAGTAGTAGCCCAACTGTATCGTTTAAAATTTGCAATTGAGAACGATTTCACGCAGAACGGCATTTTCTTGAAAGTATATGATAACAGTATTATTGTGCACCGTGACGAGATTTTATGTTTAAAAGTCTCAAGATTAACCGAACTGATGTAAAATAATAACGATAATAACAATGCAGTTCGTATCAGCTGAAGGAAATCGATTATTTTCGGTCGCAAACTTTTACCTCGCCTCACTGTTGTGGTTGCAAAACCTCACGGTAAAAGCATTAAAAAAAGTTTACTAAAAATATACAACCAGAGATTATTGAAATATTGTTCGAATGTTGTTATTCCCAAACAATCTACCGATATACCAAGAGTAATGCCAAGAGTTTTACAGCTTAAAAAAAAACTTTTATCAAGTTTTAGCTTTCTACATAACACAATCGTATTACAGTTGTGTTTGCTTTTATTCGTGATTTAAGAGTAAATATTCTTCTAAGACACTGATTTTTTCAAACATTATTATGCAACTTTTCTAAGTTCACCGTCAATATAAAAAGAATTTAGGAAAATATTTAACATCTACACAGTAAACGCATCACGTATTGCAGATTTCGTGTTCTATTTCCAAGCACAAATGGAATTAAGTTTTAATTTTCCATGTTAGACTAGCTGATCGTGGATTTTACTCAGCTCGATCAAATAACATCAGCAGGTGGACGGAAGTTTATAAGCTCCTTAAAAGAAAGTTTAACCGATAGCTTCATGTGACTGCATGATATTACTTACATATTAACACATTTTTGGGTAGCACAATAATGTAATGGAAAAGTTGAAAAAAAGCCAGAAAAGAACTTTTAAAACTATTTTTTTGCTTTCTCTCTCTTTAGTTTTATATTTTATAGTTGTATCTTTCTCTTTGTGTTTCAAAATATAAGATGGATTACATGTGACGCGTTCCCTTGGGCCTTCTAATATGTGAAAAAGGTGAACGTGTCAATCGCATAGGCAAAGGACATGTGCATTATTGTTTGGGGACTGGTCGCTCGCTCAAAGGGACAGATTCATTTATATTAAAAGGTTTTTTAATCCATAAGATAATGCAGTGCTAACCGATTATATACAAATACCTCCGGGATCCAATTAGTAAATTTGTAAAGCTTTAGACTTTTTCAGCTCCAAACCGTTTATCTAAAAGTTATATTTGTATTTTGTGATGCATTAGATTTTATTTAAAATATTGACAATAAGAACACACTTAAATAGTTTCTATAACGTGGCAAAAAATTATTGAATTTCTTTAGCGCCAAGATAATTTATATTTTCAACATAAATTTATTATCGGCACAAATGCCGTAAGTGCTCATTTATTGGGCGTTCTGAGTACTGTGCCTGAGGATATCAAATGGTTGGTTTTTATTTGTCAATGTAATCGAAATATTATGAAATATTTAATTTTACTGCAGTTGTTTTTTAATAAAATATTTCATAACAATTTTAATGAAACCTAAAAAAAATAATAAATTTTGACAGAGTTACGGGACGTTTCAACACATCAAAAATAAAAATTGTCAAACTGTCACTTATTTAGTTCAAATACATAGATATATTTTGGTATTAAAATGTCAGTAGTAAGACTGAATTGTATCAGATTTCAGTGAGGCGTGTGCACAGTATCAGCGTTAAATATCATTGGCTCTTATCAAAATGTATTTTATTTATCATAATCATAATTTCAAGGTTCTTGAGCCAGAAGGAAAGTATTGTGTGGGATAGATCGCTTTAGTAAAAATGATAACAAAGTTAAAATACAATTTTTTTTTTTTTGGATTATAGAGAGTAATAATTCATATATATATATATATATATATCCTCCACAAAAAAAATTTTAATCATGCCCACTCTATACACATACCCCACTCGCCCAACCTTCATGTACAACTAAAATTACCTGTACGTGAAAGCTGTAAGTTAACTTATACTATGTAAAATGTTTATTAACTAGTTTTGAATGTTTTATTTTATATGTCAAAATCAATTAAAATTAATAGTTCTTAAATAATTTTGGTTGTACGATAAAAGTTGTGAATATTTAAAATTTTATTTGTCGATTTTTACGATTTGTCTTGTGACTTTATAGGAAACAGTTGTAAACATATATTATGATATGATTTTCAAGTTCTAAAAACCTTCTTCTTCCATTTTAAAAGTAATATATTTTACAATTTGTTATTATTCGAGGATATCAGTTCGTAAACAGGCTGTGCGAAATCAAAGAAAAAAACTGTAACGAGAATTCCACAATTTGGTTCAGCAAATAAACAATAGATAACAAACAGAAAATAAAATAATACCATAATTTTTAACAAAATCATTTATTTCATTGTAAGAAAGAAACAATATAGATATCCTGTGTATAAAAATTTGTTTTTTTTAATTATTTCTCCACAAAAAATGTTTTGAGAGTAAACATTATATTTAATACAAAAATATGTACATTATTTAAAATGTAGTAGACAAATGTATTTGTTATATTGTAAATTAATGTTAGTTGACTGTCATTAAAAAGGCTATCGACTGCCTTTTCTATTAAAGTTAATGTTTAAGAATGAAAACAAAAACAACGAAAGTATCACAATTGTAAATAAAAATTAATGTTTCAAAATTAAAATCTTAAAAGTTTATTGGCGATTGCATGATTTCAACAGTAGTTTTATATTTAACGGAATAAAGGATGGCAACAGGTGTAAGTTGCTGTTTGTGTTTTTTTCGCAATAATTTTTCATCATTTATAATTTTATTACTTAATGCTTTTACAATGCATAACCCATTGCCTTTTAAATAATGCATTTAATCGTTAACAACTATCGTTATGTATGATTAGATTTTTTTATACAGATGTACATTTTAACTGTTATTTTTTTAAGTGCTAACCAAAATAAAAAGGGTTCTACTAATTATTTATTAATAAAAAATTTATTTATCATTAATTAAATCACATGGTTTTCATATACTCTTTTTTTTTTAATTCTCACATTTTTCGTCTACGGTTTAAATTTTATTGTTAGATCTGTTTTGATCTTACTGCGGAAAAATATATATATTTTTTTTAATGAACATAATCATTCTCTATTTTTTTTATAATTTTTTTTTTTTTAGATGACAGTGTCATAAATTAATAACCAGCCCCTAAATTATTATTAAGTGACTATCATTACCTTTTCTTTTAATATT